ACCTAAGTGTCCATCAACAGATGAATGGATAAAGAAGATGTGGCATATACATACAATGGAATATTACTCAGACATTAAAAAGAAACGAAATTGAGTTATTTGTAGTGAGGTGAATGGACCTAGAGTCTGTCATACAGAGTGAAGTCAGTCAGAAAAAGAAAAACAAATACTGCATGCTAACACATATATATGGAATCTTAAAAAAAAAAAGGTTCTGATGAACCTAAGGGCAGGACAGAAATAAAGACACAGACGTAGAGAATGGACTTGAGGACGGGGTGGGGGGGAGGGTAAGCTGGGACGAAGTGAGAGAGTAGCACTGACATACATACACTACCAAATGTAAAATAGATAGCTAGTGGGAAGCAGCTGCATAGCACAGGGAGATCAGCTGGGTGCTCTGCAACCACCTAGAGGGGTGGGATAGGGAGGGTGGGAGGGAGGGAGACGCAAGAGGGAGGAGATATGGGGATATATGTATAGCTGATTCACTTTGTTATACAGCAGAATCTAACACAACATTGTAAAGCAATTATACTCCAATAAAGATGTTAAAAAAAAAGACAATACTGGTTGAGGTATTAAAAACAGTAACAACTGGAATCTCTATAAAGCATATTTTGCTTTCTGCAATAGGACAGAGGTGGAATTTGTCTGAATCCAGTTTTATGTATAGAAGGGAATTTGATTTCTGTAAGTCTCTTCAGAGCACAATCTATAGTGGTAAAAAGAAAAAAATTCCTCCTGTAAGATGAATGTCAAAACCTTTATTCTGGACTTTTTGTATTTTGGGCTTTTCTAACATACACCCTCATCAGTAAATGCCTTAAACAATCAGATTAGAGAACCAGCATCATTGCCAAAGCATGGGACCTGGTGGCTCACTGAGCTTGTTGTCTCTCCTATCAAGAACGCCCTGATTTTTTTTGGGAAAATGTCACTTCTCAAATCAGTACCTTCCCCTTCCAAGGCTGAGACATTTGTTTAACCCTGGTTGATCCTTATATTCTATCCCCTCCCCTCAGTGAGAATTAGGCTTAAGCCACTGTTTTCTGACTGAATTTTCTGGCTCACTTGTCTTGGATTAAAGGCAGTAGAGGACATGGGTAAAGAATTCACATTCACAAGTATGCTCATATATGGCAGGCGATATTAAAATAGCCTTTCTTCCACACCAGATTTGAAAATGTGGGAAAGATAGAATTTTGCTAAATGTTTAACGTGTAACTTCTAAGGAAGGATTTTTTTTCTAGGACTCAAATTAGGACTATTATTCTAGTTAAAAACACATTTAAGAATCAAAGAGAAGGCTTTTCCCACCCCCATCAATGTAAGATCTAGAAAATATTCAAAACGGAGTTTTAAAAATACTTGTAATATCTGAGAATCAGAACTTTCCAAACTTTATAGGTGAAATTAACATAGGCAAACTTTCAAAGTGACTTGTAAATTCCCCACTTTTTGTGTCCCCCGCCCCCCCAAGCCCTGCCTCTTCCAATAGGTTTCAGACAAGTAGAATTTTTCATGGCATCTTTGGTTCTCCTTTCAGGGGGGTGGGACTCCTCGATTGAATATTATCTATCACCCTCTTCCTTCCTGTTTGCTAAATTAACTTTTTGCTTAGTTAAAGCTGGTGAAATCCATGTGTTAGAGTTTTTAAAAAAAGTTTTCCTATTATTTTATGGACTAGTAGATCATCCCTATATGTAATGACTTTATAGAGGAACAAACAAAGGCAGTAATGGAGACCCGAACTAGTTAATATTCTACTGCATGACATACAGTAATTTTCCCATTAAAAATACCTTGTTGTGGTAAAATATTCACAGTAAAAATTCATCAAAGCTGATTTTTATTAAAATCAAAGCACCAGTTGACTCTCGCAAATTAAAAACAACAACGAAGACTACTGTCTCAGATAACCTTCACAATAAGCGAAACCTTCATGGGCAGAGAAATCTGTGATCTGATTGGCTAGCATTATTCTCACTCAAGAGCATGAGCCACCAACCTGTGAGTTTTAGTAAATTCACACCAAAGATGAAGGGGCAATATAAATAAAAAGACATGAACTCTTAACTTACATGAGGTTATACAATACTTTAAAAAATATGTATATGCATTGTTATTTAAAATGAGGGCCTCTATTTCAATAATTAGATGAACTCATGGTTATGTCCATAATTTTAATGGTCAATCAGATCACTCAACTTCTCTCATTCATAACAGATACAGATAAACAGAAAATAAATATACCTTCTATTTAAACCTAAAAACCTTTTGCTTCAGTGCAGCAACCTACTGTTGGGATTCACGTTCACTTGTAGATCAGGCCTCAACAAAAGGAGGAGTTCCTCCTTTCATTGTCTAACTAGTCTCTCCACGGAACCCCAATTTAAAAGTTTAAACACTGTAACAGAATAGAAAATTGAAATGCAAATTCATAAATGGAGCAATCGGCTATATACTCACCCTTTTGACTGTGGAGTGAATCTTTCTGAAAGCATTCCTAAGTTGTATTACCTCTACACTACTGTGTAGTAGTAAAATGTGGAGCCTATTCTTTAGCTTGGAAAAGAAAGTAAAGCTACCAAGGGAAGGGGACATTTTCCTCTCAGGACCTTCCAATTTCCTACACTTCCATTCAGAAAAGATAAGCAGGGCCTGTTAATTTAAAGGACAAAATAACTGCACTGCCAGGTGGTGAAGCACAATAGTATTTTTTTTTTTCTCTGTACGCGGGCCTCTCACTGCCGTGGCCTCTCCCGTTGCGGAGCACAGGCTCCGGACGCGCAGGCTCAGCGGCCATGGCTCACGGGCCCAGCCGCTCCGCGGCACGTGGGATCCTCCCGGACCGGAGCACGAACCCGTGTCCCCTGCATCGGCAGGCGGACTCTCAAACACTGTGCCACCAGGGAAGCCCCAGCACAATAGTATTTTGAATTTAATGTGGTGTACGTTATCCATTTATGCTTCTACCAAAGCCATGTAAGTCACTAACTGGGTACTGGGTTTCCTTTTTGCTGGAAAGATCAGATGCTTGGCACCTGGGAAAGCTTTCGATGAGTTTCCCAGGATTGAGTATATTCTAGCTGCCACATGGCCTGCTCATCATGTGATCCCATTCAGCATTGGGGGGTCTTGCAGATATGACATAAGGCTCTTGGTTCTAAATCCAGAGGGTAATCTCCTGTAGTTTTTGATCAGAGGTAAACACTGGAGTTTTTTAAGTTTAGGTCAAGGTTGCTTGAGTTGCACTGACCTTTTGAAAGGAATGCTCTCCAAATGGGCATGAGGTATAGTTAGGCTCATCTTATAGCTTACTACTATTATAATTTAAGGACTACTTTGCTGGGGTCCACCTGGACACACAGGCACCTGTTAATAAGGTCGTAGGACTTTAATTTTAAGACCATTAAGAAAATGTTATTTGGAGAAATACTTTTAGTATATATTATGTATGATTACAGGAAAGATGGTTTTCAAGTGCCTTTCATTCCACAAAAAAATGATAAAGGTGAAAGAAAAATATTGTTTGAAAAGATTAATATGGCACTGAATAATAACAGTGAAAGTTTGGGGTACATTAGTAGAAATTCTGGCTCAGATGCATTTACAAAATTATAAGTTTTCTCTCTTAAGTGCTACTTCCCTTTGTGATCATCCTCAAAATTCACCTGTGGTGCCCTGCTTTAACTCAGGAGACAAGTATTGAAAAAACTATCATAAGAATAGTATTCTAAAATAAAAACAATAAACTTATTAGGGAAAGCTCCACGGCTGCTGTGCTAAAAATGCTGGAGCAAAAGAAGACAATTGGTGGTATATGCACTATTATCAAAATCTGTTCAAGTCTTTGGAGAATAAATGTCAAACACATATTCAAAACAACACAACAACAATTACTACCACCCTGAAACACATATTTGGAAAAGTGATTAAGACTTTTTAACCTTTAGTGCATAACTGACATATTATGGACTAAACCTAAGTCTACACAGAAAAGATGCTCTTGTCAGTAAGTTCTTTTCTCATTTTATCTTTAGCAGTATCTGAAAACCCAATGACTTAGCCACAGGATATTTTCAAATTGTCCATTTTAAGAACTAATGCCATGTGGATACACGCAAATCCTCTAGGTTTAATTCATGGGAGATGACACTATCCAAAGGATAAAATTCTTTCAAGTCAGCTATATTTTCATTCTATCAGTCTAGAGAGGAAAATTTCCTCAGCCAATTAATGTTTTATAAATAAAGGTTTACTTTGGCAAACTAAAAAAGTTCACATATAAATATACTGTCAAATGTTAGATTAGCAAATGGCACAATACTTTTCTTCCATCTTAACCTAGCTTCCTTCTTTGATACTGAACAACAAGTAAAAGGAAAAAATGAAAGTCAGTAAACTAGCTAGGTCTGACCCATTAAGAATATGCTTGCCCTCAGAAGGTAGGTCTTTTGTATCTCTATCAGGAGAATGAAAATGAAGTCCAGAATTAAGTCAGATGAAAGATTCAGTTTGAGGTTCTGACTCTTAAGAATGGGAAATAGATGCTTCAGAAAAAAATGTAAATTTCACTCTAATTTCCTCCAGTTGCCTGCTCCCAAATTCCACAACACACTTCATTCCAATTTATGAAGACAGATGAAAACCACAAAAACTGGTCCCTTTCAGGGGAATTTATATTTAATGCCCAATAAGGTATAAGTCGAAGAATCCTTACATCAAATATGGCACACACTGCTGTATTGCATATTCTGGACAGCTCCACTAAAAGCCATACTGAAAACAATAAGTTTTGTTATAAAAGGATCACCTGCACAGTTAAAAAGCAAACAACAAACCACACATAGACACACAGCAAAACCAAATGAGTACACTTACTTCCTCAGTGGAAGAAGGTAGGTTTAGAAATGTACGAAAAATGGGCTTGAAAACCTGCTATACCAAACACACCTCTATAGACAAGAAAAAAACAAAAACAAAAATCAAACATCTGTTTTCCTTTTTCTTTAATACAATTGCCATCTTACATGATATACTATTAGGTGCCTTCTTAATAGCATCTAATCTACTTTTTCGTTGCACCAGTGGGCATCCTAGGATAGAACTCTTATTACCACTCATATTCATTGGAGTACTGCTCTTATGTACAGTACACCTAACTCATGGTTGGTCCATAGTTAATGAGTAGTGGTATTTTCTAAAAATGGATTAACGCACATATCCAAACCACATTAAATTTTCAACTTAGAGTTCAAACAAAGTCTATTTCCTTTCTATAGCTGCTATCACTCCAGACTGCAGTTTGAAATCCAGTAAGTGGGGAGAATGTCTTTTTATTTTGTTGTTGATGCTTCTTTCTTTCTTCCTTTCTCCTTCCTTCCTCCCTCTTTTTCTTTCTTAACAAGAAGGTTAAAAGAAATGGGTTATTAAGGAAATCAGAGTCTAGTAAACATCGAAAACTTAAAGTGGTCACAAGCTCTTCTTGGTAATGATGTTAAATTACTGACAAAAAGTTTTTTGAAAACAGAAAAAATCTAAAAACCAGCACACGCCAGTGGTGTTGCTTATTTAAGCAACTGGCGTTCCTCTATGCTTTTGAGGCGTTTCTTCCGGGGCTGTACAAAGTCATCATCTGAGTCATCACTAAATTTATTATCTTCTGATTCATTCCTGAATTCTACTTTAGGAAACCGTTTTTCTGGATAAAGGTTCTTCAGAAGTTCTTCAAAATAGCTTTCAAGTTTTATACCAGCATTGGCTACTTCTGAATCAGGCTGTTGAATAAAAATAAGAATTAAAAAAAAATTTTAGATAGTCAATAAAGTCATGGATTTCTCACATTTTTGTTCCCTTCTAACTGAAGATTATGAATATCAGTGGATTGTTTTGGAAAAAACGTTTATGTATAGCTTTGATATAAAGTAAACAAAAGTCTGGGGCTAGACAAAAATCTAGAGAAGATCAGATAAGAAGTAAATAAAAGGCTTTGACTCATCTGGGTTACCAACGAGATATCACAGAGATGCCATAATCAGAGAATCATCTAACAGGTATTTTTAGAACAAATTAAATGAAACGTGGAACTCTGGAATGAGCAGCCAATACAAAGGACAAACTATCAACAAAAGGCTATAAGTCTGATAGATGTTTAGATAAACAGATGATAAAGTTTTTGAGAAAATTCTTAATTAAGAACTATCTAAACCACATTCTTAATATTTTAATATCAACATCACAAAGAGTAAACTCTGGTGAAGTGCCATATTTCAAGAAATAAAGGTGCTTCTGGGTTAGATAACAATATTTTCTAAATTGTTTTCAAGTTGTCACCATATAATAAATCTTTGAATATACATGTGGATAAAGTCTTCCTAATTACCTCTTTCATTCCCTGACAGACTCGAACTTTTGGTTATTTATGCTACCACAGATAGATATCTTGATCTCCTCGTTTGTCGGTAAGGTGTCTGGTTTAACATTACTTTCACATTGCTATTATTTTTTTTCTTCTCACCTCATTGAATTCAGCACAGTTTTGAAAGATCAATCTAAAATCAGCTACAAAATCTTCAGGCTTTGTATACATGGGATAATCTTCTTGTAGTCTTTTCTTGATGGTTGACAAGTCCATTGGATTTTTAATTATTTTGTAATAATCTGGCACCTTTCAAAAGATATGAGATGCTATAATAAATAAATTCTACCTGGTCCTATATAAATCCTATAAGAAGTAGTATAAAATTCAGATTGTTCTCATTGCTTTCCTCTGTTCTATTTTGTCATTGATAAGGAAATCTATTCAGCAAAATTTACAAGTGCTTGAATGCTTCCACACATTGGTAAATGTTTAGTGTCACTTTTATCAAAAATCTTCACCAGTTATTTTTAATGAAAAAAACTTACCACATTTTCCCTCTTACTATTCTCCTTCATTATTAAACAAAAAGCAATCACTAGAAAAAGTATTACTTCTAGTAAGATTTGACATGCTTTTGCTGCATGTGTTATAGCAAGTGGGCTTTGAATCTGGGTTTGAACCCCAGCTCTGCTACTCACTAGCATTCTCCTGGGTAAGTTACTGGGTTCAGTCATTTCACTGAACCTGTTTCTTTATATTTCAAATAGAAATAATTCTACCAATCTCATAGGATTTTGTAAAGACTAAATGAGATGATATATATTAAGAAAAAGGGGGCTATTTTGCTGCTGCTGTTATTAATGCCAAACGTAACTATAAGCCAACATCATAAAAAGTGCCAAATTCTAGGTTAACTTTTTAAATGAATAAAGTTTTTACTGGCATATTTTTGCCCTGGCTCTTTTGGGTACAAAGGGCCCTTCCCCCTAAAAACTATTTACAGTGGATCCTTGAACTGTGCAGGTACACTTATACATGAATTTTCTTCACTAAATTCATACTGTATTACTACAGGATCTGTGGTTGGTTGAATTTGCAGATACAGAGGGCTGACTGTAAAGTTATATGCAGACTTTCAACTGTGCAGAGTCGGTGTGCCCCTAACCTCTGCCTTGTTCTAAGAGTCAACTGTATTCCTTTTTCCTATCTCAACTTCTCAAAACTTGTTTTCAGGACAGAAGTTCACTGTTTATCAGCTCAATGTATTTGCTATGCTTGTTTTCTTTTCTAATGTTGCATTAAATTTTCTAAATTTATTGAACTGTTCAACAAATCTATTAGCTTTTTAAAGGAATTTCAGACCTCAGAGAAGAACACATTTTGAGTAGCAGGCCATTTCCAGCACTCTAAAATTATGCACTGAAGTCACATCAAATTTTAAATATGAAGCTTTTTGAGGTCAATGGTAAACACACACAAACACACACCTCTTCCTCTACTGTTAAAGTCTACTTATTACTTGAAGTTTGGACCTATAAATCAAAATGTGTACAGAGATTTGGAGAGGTCTTTAGCTCAAATGGCAAGTTTTTTTCCCAACAGCTTTAGGCTATATACCTAAAACTGAGAGAGAAACAATTGATAGAAATCATCCCAGAGAATAGTAGGTAAAATACATGAGATGAGAAGAAAGAATATATCAGAAAAGAAGTTTTGGGCCAGTTTGTTAACCTTAAAATGTGCTTAAGATTAAAGCATGCAGTATGTATTAATAAGCTTTAAGATTTGGATTAATGTAAGAAACTTACTATTGAAAAATGGTACAGAAACTAGATTGTCATAAATCAAGTTTCAGAAAACTCATCCCACTGTACAAAAAAAGCACAAAATAACATCCATACTTACAGTTAGAGGAACTGGGTCTTGAAAAGCCAGGCTCATTTCATGGCAATAAAGAAATAAAAGTAGGCGTTCACACTTCTAAGCAATAAATAAATAAAATGAAAATATAATGAAATAATGAAGTCACGGCTAATTTTTAGCAACAACGTTACAGGTCTCAAAGTATCAGAATAAAAGTTAAAACCAGATGAATACAAGAAAAATATTGATACTTGGAGCTTTGCTGTCCATTTCAATCATTTACTACAGTGTACTGTTTGACATTTTGGGGTCTATGTCATATATGAGAGCAGTCATTATAATTACAGGAACAAAAGCAGTATCACTAGAAACCTATCTGAAGTTCTTTAAAAATATATTTCCACTTCTCTCTCCAATTTGTGTACTGAATTATTAATAGTACACAAATTAATAGAAGAACATCCATATGTTGAGATCCAGAGGTGGAGCCCCTGCCATGGGGGGCTGGGTCCTAAGGACCCCTCTCTGAATGCAGATGGTTCCATCATGTACTCTGCTACTTCTCTGCTTACAAGTTTACCCCAATAAACACTGTGTAGCAGTGGCAGTGCATGTTTCAGCTCTCTCTTGCACGACAACTTTCATACTGACTGTTCTACTTAATAATTTAGCAAAGGAGCTTCTTTAGTGATAAAGAAGTGTTGACTTAGTAGCTTTAAATGTTAATTACAGTTAAATATATTAGCTAGCTTTGAGGTATAAATCTAGTGCCATTTGGTGAAAGAATGTAATTATTTCCAGGAAGAATAAACAGAAAAACCCATCTCTTTGGTGCCAATTCTTAAATTCTGAGGAAGAAAACATATCTGAATCAAACCTGAAATTGACTAAAGGTAGACTTAATTTAAAAGTCCAGACCACATAAATAATCTGCCATTATTTAAGACTGTTATATTTTTGTGGAAAAAGAGTACTAAAGAAAAAAGAAGTCAGTATAAAATTTGACTGAATATGCACTTCTTTGATGAAAGCACATCTGCATTACAGTAATGCATCTAGCCAAAACAACTGTTTAACAGTCTAGGTTGGAAACTTACCCTTTTATCTATTGGTGTTAGTTTGATAAGGCCTTCAGTTTTCTTTTTTTCTGAGTTGTGAATGGGAGCATCACAATCATATTCAACCTCTGGTTTAGATAAATCTCGGCAGAAAGTGCAAATCCACTCTCCACTGTTGGGGAATAAAGTATCTGGCTGAGTTCCTAATGCATCATTGCTCTCTTCACCACCTCCCTTCCCCACCTCCCTCCCCCACCTCCCTCCATGCCATCTATTATGCAGAATTACTTATTTGGCATCAGTGTTAATCACTGAGGATTTAGCACACATCTGCTTTGTACATGGCACCATGCTGAGTGAGCCTGCAAGCAGAAATAGAGTTCACAGGCCTAAGTGGTAAACGTTAGCCTAGTTAAGGAGGCATGAAATATACACAAAATAAAAAAACACACACATTAATCTATGGCTGATGTGAGGCACAACTGACCTTTCCCCCCAAATGATTTAAGAAAAAGAAGCACTCTTGGTACTGTTCTTATAACTTTAAGTTTGAAATTATAAATATTTATTTATTTATTTATTTATTTATTTTTCGGTACGCGGGCCTCTCACTGTTGTGGCCTCTCCCGTTGAGGAGCACAGGCTCCGGACGCACAGGCTCAGCGGCCATGGCTCACGGGCCCAGCCGCTCCGTGGCATGTGGGATCTTCCCGGACCGGGGCACGAACCCGTGTCCCCTGCATCGGCAGGCGGACTCTCAACCACTGCGCCACCAGGGAAGCCCTGAAATTATAAATATTTAAAAGTACAGCCTTGGAAGGGACTTCCTGGTGGTCCAGTGGTAAAGACTCGATGCTCCCAATGCAGGGAGCCTGGGTTTGATCCCTGGTCAGGGAACTAGATCCTGCACACTGCAACTAAGAGCCCGCATGCCACAACTAAAAGATCCCTCATGCTGCAACTAAGACCCGGCACAGCCAAATAAATAAATAAATATTTAAAAAAAAAAAAAAGAGTCTTGGGGACAAGGCTCATGTAAACAAACAAAACTACAGCCTTTGAAGAACTAAGATATCAACCCAATGGCTCTTCTCTATGACCATCATCATCTCATAGGGTTTGTTTGAGAATTTACTCAAGATATTTGTGAACAATACAGATCAATGCCTGGCAAATAAGATGCACTAAATTATGGCAGTGTTGTGCATAAGGATAACACTTTATGGTACTTCCCTTGTAATAATTTAAAGGTCCAGTTATTTTTTTTTCTCAGCATAACAGACTAGGTTTTTGAGAGAAGCACAGGGAATGGGAGGCAGGGTATGGGAAACCCTGTGTTGAAAATGTTGGCATATGCATTTATGCCAAGTGGACTTCTATTTAAGTTTTTACAAAGGTTTTATGTTACAGTGATCATCAAAAGTTTATTGCTGTTATTATTTATAATGAAAGAATGTAAGAAAGGGAAGCAAGCACCATCTTACCTTGGAAAATTTGCCAATGTGGGCACATGACAAGAGAGATGGAATACTTTGGGACATTTCTCACAGCATAGGAGTTCCCCTCCATTCTGACAAACTGCACACCAGTCCTCATTGGGGTCATCCTCTTTCCTTGTCTCTCCAACGTGAAGGGGTGACTTCTGAGAGGCATCTAGCCACTCAGACTTTCCATTTGAGGAATTTTCCTGGTTAAGTCCAGGTTGATCTCCTGTGCTATCAGGGGCATCTGATCTTAACACAGACTCTTCAGATGCAGAGCTCTGACTGCTATTTAGGAGCAGGGAGGTGAGGATGCTTCTTGGATAGTTGGTCTGCAGTGGAAAGAGTTAACACACGCATATGGGTATCTTAAACTGCTGTGCTTTATTAGCACTACCTCAATTCTGGACTGCAGTCTGCTCACGCATGAGCACCTGGTTATTTCAAAGGAGTCTGAGAATCTGCATGAGACCAGAATACGTTTACTGCTAACTGTCCCTAATGGTAAGGAAGACATGGACCTCTACTGAAAAATATCTTCAAAACAGAAGATCAGCAGCAGTAACAGGGTGTGGATAACATAGGGAAAATCTTTGAATCTGCTGATGGCTATAGAAACGGGTGGGTAGCGTAGAAGTCAACCATGAGAACTATAAATACATTTTACTGGAGCTGTTAATTCAAAGTATATCTAAACACAAAACAGGCCTACTATAGATTTTTTATCATTCATAAAAAGGTATACTGCTTAAATTCTTATAAGTAATTTCACCTCTGCAAGTGCCATTAATAACTTTAAAATGAACCTAAATGTTATGTTTGAGCCTAGAATGGTGAAAATTTCAAATTAATAACAAAATCTTATTATCTCCTTTAAACGTTTTTTAAAATTCTGAAGTAATAAATGTAGATTTAGTTAAAAGCACAGGTATATAATATCATTCCTTGGAGGCAATTATTTTCAGATTATTTAGCTTTTTCCTCTGCTATTTACCTCTATACTTCTAAACAGTATGCTTATACTATAATTTTTCAGATTTTCAAATTTAAACATATTTTCAGTTTTTTTGTTTGTTTGTTTGTTTTTGCGGAACGTAGGCTTCTCACTGTCGTGGCCTCTCCCGTTGCGGAGCACAGGCTCCGGATGCGCAGGCTCAGTGGCCATGGCTCACGGGCCCAGCCGCTCCGTGGCATATGGGATCCTCCCCGACCGGGGCACGAACCCGTGTCCTCTGCATCGGCAGGCGGACTCTCAACCACTGCGCCACCAGGGAAGCCCTTCAGTTTTAAATGTATATATTTTCCCTTCTATGGAAGATCAGATTTTTCCTTCCTGATTCTCCACACCCTCCTTATACTTACACCATTCATACCAACCTCTGAACATAGTTTTATTAAGCACTGATTTCTTTTTAGTTGGGAGGCGCCAGTATAACTGTTTAAAGCCAGCATCTATTCCAGCTGGTCAGTATCATTGCTGTACTGGTTAAGTATCCTGAAAAATCAATTTTTGGTCAAATGCATATTCATGTTATATCCTGATTATATCTAGCTTTTATTTAAATTTGTATTCAGGTGTTTGTTTATATCATTATGACTATATACTGTTCACTGCATAACCACAGGATGTACTATGACTACACTTCCTTTTTGTCTAACTTTTTGTTTTTCCTGTGAGTCAATAATTACCATATTTTAAAATTTAATCCATTTGCTTATTTTTCTAGATATCTAAGTCATTCTCACAATCCCCAACAGGGTTATAAAATGTTTCTCAATACTGTCAAAGCATTTTTCTCCCGCTACATACATTCCTAATGGAGTCTTCTGTCCTCCTCCTACAGGGTGTACTGGAGGAGCTGTTGTATTGGGGACTAACTACCCTTTTCTTTGCCTCTCTTCTGTGTTAGATCCCAGAAATGGGATCTTATGTCTTTCTCTTTCTGGTTTAATTCATTTTTGATGAAGCATATTCTCAAATATCTTCCTCAATTATCTTCCTCAAATATCTTCTCAAATGAGTGCATGGAATTAAGTTTTTGAGAATCTGCATGCATGTCTAAAAATGTTTATTTAATCTTTACACATAATTGATAATTTGCCTGGGTACAGAATCCTGGCTACAAAATATCTTTCCTCACAATTTTGATATTTTCTCTATTGGCTTCCAGCTTTGAGCATCTGTGTTGATGTGTTGAGGACTTGGTGACACTATGATGTCTGATCCATTATGTAAGGTGTTTTTTTCCTCTGGAAGCTTTTAGAACCTGTTTAGAATACTGGTATTCTGAAATCGATGAGAATATGACTTGAGTCTTTTTTTTCATTTAATTGTTCTGGTACTTGGTAGGCCTCTTCAGTTCAGATGCTCAGGCCCTTCAGTTACAGGAAGTTTCCTTGTATTATTGCTTTGGCAATTACCTTCCATGTGTTTTACTCTGTTCTCTCTTTCAAATGCCCAACCTCCTCATTTAACCTCTGACTTTTCAAACTCTTCTCCCTGTTTGCCATCCATCTTTGTGTTGTGATCTACTCAAAGATTTAAATATAATAGTTTTTATCTCCTACGAGCTATTTAAAAGTTTCTCTCATCCTATCTCTCAAGTAGGAGTAGTACTGAAATCATAATATAATTACATTTTGAGCCCTAGATTCTTCATCTGATTCTTGTTTCACTATAACAACAGGAAAATCATAATTTTCAGGTGGTCCACTGTTTTCTTGTTTTATTCGGATTGGCTCCAACATGACCACTGGGACTTTGTGTGTAGAATCGGCTCCTGCTGGTTTGCTGGAAGAGCCAGAGCTATAAGTATAAGAAAAAAAGAAAGAAAGAAAAAAAAAATCTAAGAAAGCTACCTTAAGTATCTTAAAACAAGGTATAATAATAGCTTTTTGGAGTAATGCCGTATCTTCACAGCAATGGTAACTATGTTACATCAGCAATAAATGATACATAACTGAAATGCATCTGCTATATGCAAAACAGTTTCATTTATGTATAAAAAATGTTCCACATATTAACCTATCAAAATGGTTACATTACATACCTGGAAAGGTATTTAAATAAATTTAAATAAAAAACTGACTTCAATATCCTGAGGCTCTAAAATTGGGCAGCCAGATCTTAGAACTATCTTAGAATTAGCATCTTTTTTTTAGGATTTTCCTTTCCTGCTCTAGTCAGTGACAAAGAGAAGTCTAGGCTCACATTAACGACTTACTGTCACAAAGTGTGAAGATAATTAACTAGGTTCATAGTTTACTGGTGTTCTGCTATTTTAAAAAATGTAGTGCAACAAAAAAGGCGTTTACAGATAGCTTCTATGTTCTCATAGGATTAAAGGCAAACTTTTCCCCTTCAGAGTATGCTACTTCCATACAATTAGGAAAATAAGAATTGGGTTCACTATCTAGGAGAAATTTGCAAGCATTATGAGTGGGTGTGTAACACAGTAAGTTAAAATACAGTTTCAACAACTGTAAAACAGAATCAATGTTTGGTTATTGGAAATGTCAGAACACCAATTTTAGTATAAAATTATTATTTGTTTTCCCTAAGTTTTTATTTGTGCATGTTCCTATATAGTGCAGTGTGTTACACAGACTTCATTTTTGTTTTTTCCTTGCTATTATACTAAAATCAAATGTATTTTCTTATTTTCAACAAATAAGCATTTTTGTATCTTTAAAGATAAAAGTGTACTCTACTAAACCCATTGATTTTATAACATACTCTACTAAACCCATTGATTTATTATTACATTAATATATTATTACATGTATAATATATTACATTAACATATAACATATAATTAACATTATTATTACATTAACATATAACATTATTACATTAACATATAAACCCACTGATTTATTATTACATTAACATATAATATATAATAATTATTAAACATTTAACTTAAAAGTTAAAGATAAGGGAAATTGCTTAAAATGTATTGAGTACCAAAGCATGCTGAACACTGGCGAGAGAAATCTAGTTACAGATTTTATAGACTAGAGAATAAGTTAAGTCAGTTTACCTTCCTCGGCTCCCAACGCTGGAGGCACTAGGTGAACGTATTGGTGGGTGTACACTTGTCAGAGTAACAGGTCCTGAGATCATACACATTCGTAAAATGAATTAATAACTGTATTTAATTCCTACTCAATGTTCTCACTTAATACTACATTGAAACTAGAAACACATAATGAAACTATATAAAACAAGAGTAGCTGCTGAACTCCCAGCACAGTCTAAAGTCCCCCTAAACTGGCAGGGCTGTTCAACCTCAGCAGTACTGACATTTGGGGAGAGATAATTCTTTGATGTGGGGGCTGTATGTGCATCGTAAGGATGTTGAGCAGCACCCTCGGCCCCTATAGTTATTAGATGCCATGGCACCTCTACATACTCAGCATCCAGGGGTGTGACAATCAGAAATGTCTCCAAACACTGTCGAATGTCCCATGTTAGAGTAACCAGGGTAGGAGCTTAGTGAGGACACTAGTGCCAGCAAAAGCTACAGAGGACAATAAAAAGTTGGTAAGGCTGGTATAAAAGCAGTCCAAGAGAGAAAGCCCCACAGAGGCTAATGAACGGAAGACACTGAAGCAATGTATAGAAGATACTTTGTCCCTTGCCTGACACAGTTAGTACTGGATAAACGTTAGCTTTAGTAATAGTGCCAGAAATGTTTCCAGAAATGGTTTTCAGAAATGTTGTCAAGTTATACTCCCACCAGCTATGTATTAGAGCATTTGTCCCATCACATCCTCATCAATGAGTATTTTCACTATTTAAATCTTTGCTTATTCAATAGTTAGAAATTATGTCTTTTTGATTCTATAATGACTACCGGTGAGATGGAACCACTCATCTTTCTTCCTCTCCGCTGTTTTACTAACTAAATGTACTTCCTCTTTAGGGAATAATCTACTCATGTCCTTTTGCAATACTGTGTACTTTCCTTATTAATCTGTATGAACTTGTTACATAATTAAACAGTTTCTCTACCACATTTTGTCAACAATTTCCTTTCAGTTTGTTTATGTTTTAAATAAGTACCTCCTTTAAAATTTGACAACTGGCTTAATTATGCTTGTATGACTGGTGAATGGCATAAGAAATTCTCCTCTTTCCTTATTTTGGTCTAAGGCATCTAATTTGCCAAGGTCTCTGCGAGTAGCATTAGTCAGAATGCTTCTCTCTTGGAGGAAATAAGTAGTTGTGTCCAAAATTCTTGAACACAATTAAATAGCGAAAAAATCACCAAAAAGAGTGATTGTCACTGATAAATTCTGATGCTAGGAAAATTCCATGCAAAAAGAGATGATACTACAGGCAAATTATCAAAAAGAGAAAGTACAATACTAATTTCCTCCTGGGAGCACTATAGTGCCCATAAGTTCTATTCAAATTGAAAATGTACAGAGGTTTAACTTTTGCTTCCCATTTCGAAAGTACATTAATTTTAAAGAGTACCCAAAACATGGACCCATTTTAATCATCCAACAGAAAAAGGGAGGAGGCGTAGGGTGATTTTTAAAAATATTATTATAAATAGAATAAAAACTGAAAAAAACCCACTAATAAAATTTTTAAAAAGCCCACTTTACCTGTAAGGCCTGGAGATGGCACTGATGAATTCGGTGACTGCACGGTTCTGTTTGAGGGTGGTCTCGGCTGGCCATGATCTGTACTAGTATCTTTCCTCACAATATTGTCCAGCATAATAGTACTTGAGCAGTCAATCTGATACGAAATTATTTCATGGCATTGTGACTTTGCAAGTTAAAAGCTACTTTAAATTTATAAGAAAACTTTAATAGTTTAATTATTATCAGATAATAAAACATGTAAATATCATATTTGAGAAGTTCTGATCTATACTTTCCCCATAAACAACCTTGAAAAAAAGCCTTCACACTTAGTATTTCACCTTAGTAAATATACTGAGTCACACTATTTCAGAAGTCATGAGCCAGGAGAAAAGAGTATTGTGTGCTACACCCTTAAAAATTAAAACAAAATTATAAAAAGTAATTCTAATAATGTTTCTTAATTTATTTAAAAATAATAAAAGGTACCAATTTAAAAAAAAGCAAACTCGGTGAGAAGAGTAGCACAGTTTCACATTTTGCAAATTTCTTTATTGTCTGGCTTAGTAACAGCCAACTGGAAACTTGTATCTTTTACTCAGTCTGCTGAGATGTGTGGTTTTGGCTGAAGAATAAGAAGAAAATCTGGTCTTACACAGAGAGGACCTTGTACAGCCTCTAAAAAGGTTTTACGGACCCCATGTCCTTGGCCCACACTTTGAGAACCGATGCTCTGGTATGCACTAGATTGATGAAACAAGTCTACGCATAACACATTTTCAGAACACTAACCTCACTTAAATACATTCTTAATGTTTGGTAGGAAAAAATTGATCCCTCAGAGATTCCTGCTTTAATGCAACAGGTATACAAATAATTGACTGCTTTCCTAATTGACTGCTAAGCTAAAATATTGATAAATTTCTACTGAATAAGACTTTAATACTTTAGATGCAAATATTTTTAAAATTTTTTTATTGAAGAATAGTTGAATTACAGTGTGTTGATTTCTGCTGTATAGAAAAGTGATTCAGTTATTCATATATATATTGTTTTTCATATTCTTTTCCATTATGGTTTATCACAGGATACTGAATATAGTTCTCTGTGCTATGCAGTAGAACTTTGTTGCTTATCCATTTCTATATATACCAGTTTGCATCTGCTAATCCCAAACTCCCAATCCAACCCTCACCCACCCCCCTTTAGATGCAAGTATTTTTAATGCTTAAATATACCATTTATTCCCCAAGAATGTTTTTGTGATTAAAATCCAATTTAATAGTTCCAGCCTTTCTCAGTCAAGATTCTCCAAGAGAATTAAGTCCTACAGTCTGAGGGCATAGACTGTATATAATGAATTTACTTCTCGCCTCTGCATCTAGAATGGTACTAGTTATGAACCATCCTTGGGAGGACTGAGGAAATAGTCACTCAAATCAGTTTCTTTATTCTGTGGTTCATATGAGGAATTTCAGTTGAGAAAGCTGGTGGACAAAGGGTCATCTGTATCTGAGGACTGCAGAGGAAAATTTACTTTCTGTGGGTCCTCTTTCAGTAGGGGAAGGAGGAATGAAGTACACAGGGTTATTTATGTTTAATATTCTTTGGGCACTACCTTGGTCAATACTTTTCAGAGAGTGCAAAAAGTACTGGAATGACTAAATTTGTTAGATCTTAATGTAAAAAAAGTTATTTACATTGTGGAATAATCCTAAAAGCTAAAATAAAATTATAGGAATGACACAAAAAAAGTTTCCCTATCGATCGCCTATGCATGAAAAATACATGTACTCTACCCATTTAAAGTATAAACAATTATTTTAAAAATGAAATAAGTCTGGTAAGGTTAATGATGCAACTTTTAGGAAATATTAGTTGATCTCAGTAACTTGAAAAACAAATTAAATAATACAAAATTTTAGATTCCTTCACATCCTACAAGATTTCTTAAAAGTTTTTAATGTCTGTATGAGTGATTACCTTAAGCTTATAAGATGAGAAAAGGTAAAACAAGTATCAACTTATGTATAAAGATTTGTTTATTCAATGTTTTATTTTCTGCCTTTGAAAAATATTTTTTAAAAAGTCATACTGACAAAGAGCTTAGAGGGTAAATGTGTTTAATTTAAATAAAACTGAAATCAGAGGTAATTTTGTACTGGTTAGTAAATGTTATCATTTCTGTTATTATTATTATTAGTTATATTTGAGGGGAGCTTTTCCTATGCCAAGCACTGGGCTTTACTTGCATTAGCTCATTGAGTCTTTTTTTTTTTTTTTTAACATCTTTATTGGAGTGTAATTGCTTTACAGTGGTGTGTTAGTTTCTGCTTTATAACAAAGTGAATCAGCTATACATATACATATATCCCCATATCTCCTCCCTCTTGCGTCTCCCTCCCACCCACCCTATCCCACCCCTCTAGGTGGTCACAAAGTATCAAGCTGATCTCCCTGTGCTATGCGGCTGCTTCCCACTAGCTATCTATTTTACATTTGGTAGTGTTTATATGTCCATGCAACTCTCTCACTTCATCCCAGCTTACCCTTCCCCCTCCCCATGTCCTCAAGTCCATTCTCTACGTCTGTGTCTTTATTCCTGTCCTGCCCTTAGGTTCTGCCCTTCAGAACTAATTTTTTTTTTTGATTCCATATATACGTGTTAGCATATGGTATTTGTTTTTCTCTTCCTTATTTCACTCTGTATGACAGACTCTAGGTCCATCCACCTCACTACAAATAACTCAATTTCGTTTCTTTTTATGGCTAATATTCCATTGTATATATGGGCCACATCTTCTTTATCCATTCATCTGTTGATGGGCACTTAGGTTGCTTCCATGTCCTGGCTACTGTAAATAGTGCTGCAATGAACATTGCGGTACATGACTCTTTTTGAATTATGGTTTTCTCAGGGTACATTTCTATTATTAAACTTGTCTCCATCTCTTCTGGTGACTTAAATGTTAGACTCCCTCTCTAACGTTATTCTATTGTAATATATCATATTCCAGCAATTCAACCTTCCAGTACCTCCTCCCATGTCCTCACCCCTTCCTTCCCGGCTTAGATTCCATAATCCATCACCATAATCATTCATTTACAAACACTTTAACTCCAGTGCCCTGAAAGACATTCTGTAGTACGTTCAAGTGTTAATATTAATCTTTTTATTATTTCTGCTGTTACCATATTTCTAAAGGATAAAAACAACTTCTAAACACAAACGCACAGCCTATAATCCAACAAACCCATGCCTTTTACCAGATCCAAGTTCACTTAAAATTTTCGAAACAGATTCTTACTATAAATTTTATGTATACTTACATCTGGAAGAGAAGGAAGATTATAGGGACCTCCCACGGGTGAGCTCAAATCAATCATAGGTGACCCAAAAGCCTTTCCATCATATCCTGCTGCACTAGTAATGGTGGGACTGGAAGGAGTAGAGGACGTGCTGTTGGCAGCTGATGGGGTGGCCTGCCCACTGCTGACCTGCCACTGTGGTAGCAAGAAGAAGAAAGGTTGTCTATCAGCAGGCCTGTAACATAAAATGTCCATCTAATCCCTGTTCCAGACACAAAACAAAGTAAAAGACACAGTCTGCTATTTGAATTCAACTGTAATTTTAATGGAAACGGGAGAGGACACAAGTATATATAATTTTCATTAATCCTGTCCAAACATAAAAAATAAAAAGAACTGATTTTTACCAGAAGACAACAGTTAGTATTCACAAGAAAACCACAGCACCCAATCTTGGAAAGCTTACACATATTGGAAAAGAAATATAAACACGTACAAAGCAACTTCAAGGTGAAGATGGAGGGCTGAAAGCATACGTTTTCTTCTGTCCCTACCTGATACACCTGAAAGTAAAATGACAGTTAAGGGAATTTTTTTTTTTTTGAAAAAGGCATTGACCCATAAAGACAAAGAAAACAGGGGAGAAGACAGAGATCACATTTTGGAAGCTGGAAGGCAAATGGACAAAAAGCAAATGAATTAGTCATAGCCAATGGATAAAGCTGAAATCTAAGCTGGCAGTGGGAAAAACAGAGAAGCAAATCAGCATATGTTGCAGAACCCCTACGAGCCTGAGAATTAGAAGCATAAGAGGTGAAACTGGGGCTAAAACCAGGATGATCTGCTGAGAGTCTGTTTAAGAAGGATTAACTCTCACATTCGTTTCCTACTTTACCTGTAGCTATCCCAAGATAATAAGGACTACCTCCACCTCTGCAAAAGAAGGCTGGAAATTAATTTTCTAGAATAGGTAAAACAGTCTTTGGGCTGACGAGCATCAGGCTCAGCTGAAGGGAGAAGTACTGCACTTGGGCTTCCCCAGTGGTGCAGCGGTTGAGAGTCCACCTGCCAATGCAGGGTACACGGGTTCAAGCCCTGGTCCGGGAAGATCCCACATGCCACGGAGCAACTAAACCCGTGTGCCACAACTACTGAGCCTGCGCTCTAGAGCCCGTGAGCCACAACTACTGAGCCCACGTGCCACAACTACTGAAGCCCATGTACCTAGAGCCCGTGCTCCGCAACAAGAGAAGCCACCGAAATGAGAAGCCGGCACACCGCAAGGAAGAGTAGCCCCCGCTCGCCACGGCTAGAGAAAGCCCGCGTGCAGCAACAAAGACCAAAAGTAAATAAATAAATAAATAAATTAAATGAATGAATGAATGAATGAAGAAAAAAGAAAAAAAGAAGCATTGCACTGAAAATGACGAGTAAGAAACCATACACAC